TAATTCTCTCTATCATTATTTCCGTGTTTTTTTTTCCTCCCTAAGCTCTAGAACACTCACAGAAGGCCCATTCTGCGATAATCGAATGGGCGGGGACTCATAACTATAGTGACTTCCTCACTGAGGAGTCCATCCTCCTAATATAGTGAACAAGAGGGGTCAAACATGAGGAAGGCATGGTGGAGATGAGTTTTCGTTATAACAGACGCTGTAGCTCACAATGCTGTTTCTCACCTAGGATGAGCACAGAGAAGGTCTTGCTCGTAGCTGAAATGGCAGTCATCGCTTATTTCACACCCGTTGATCACTCTCGATGGCGATTCGGTTGTCTGAAAAGGTAGGAATCGATCAGTGCTCGTGATTTGGGTTGCTCGATCTATAGAACAACATTAAGACGTGTTTTGTAAACGCTTACTGTAGTTTCGACCCATTCAGGCTGGTTCGCGTTTGGGTCCGGTGGTGGACGCCACGAACGTGGACTCGTAACCCATTCAACAGTCAGTGGTGCAGTTGTGGAAGGCGCACGTGTAAAGTAGACAATGTTGTTCGATTCAACTGCTGATGCCAGTCTGAAATGTCAGGTGGGAACTTCTGAGGGCATTTGGTGGATATTTGGCACTGGAATACGCCTACATATTTTGTTGAGGTACATCGATAAGCTGCATTATTTACGATTTAGTATCCTATTTATTCATATTTGGTCACGGTTTTTCTTTAAAACTTCTTGTGTGGAGAGATTTGGTCAGAATTTTCCTCTCCAATAGCTTTGTGAACACAAGTATCCCATTCGATTGGCGCGAGAATACCAGTGCCTGCGCTGCGGGTATCTCCAAACGACAGGCGTAGACTGATTACAGTGGACTGATTAGGCGTAGACTAATGCAGCAAGGGCAGTCTTTACCACCAGTAGTAGCGGGCTATTATTATTATTTATTCTTAGCTATTATTATTTAGCTTATTTTAAAAACAAGCTAAATAATTTCAGGCCTGACGAAGGTGCTACGCACCGAAATATTGCAAGATAAGATATTTAAAAACTTTTGAGACTTTTGCTGTCTTTTGAGTTTTTTGGAATAAACTTTTGGAGTTTCACATTGTTGCTACACATTCAGATAAGAAATGAGACTCCGGGACAGCACAATACTCCGAAGTGTAATGGATAAATACGCAGAAACCTTACACAACCAAGGACATGAGGGAGGCCGAGGGACAAAGTATCTACTGTATGAGTCCATTTACCTTGATGTCTCTTGGCTAGCCCGGGTACTACACGATCTCCCATATCGTACAGGGGTGTCGCTTAATGTCACATTACTTTCGCCCAAGCAGGTACCGTGTAGCTGAGTAGCAGTGGTGTAGTGATCGCTCAGTTGTCTACTTATTTATTCGTTTATTTATTACTTCCCAATTCCTGTTATGTGAAGGTATGAATAATGTTGCAAGCAAGCGGAGGGAGCATTACCAACAGAGAGTTCTATCCACGACCATAGAGGCACATTCCGCGATAACTGGATGGGAGGAGAAATGGGCAGCTATTTATAATCATTGTTTTTCCCATTGATGTGGGCGTAACTCTTCAGAAAAGGGGTGCTCCAATGAGCAAGGTACAATGATAGTAAGTGTACATCTCTTCCTCCACCTCTCCAATATTCGCGGACTGGTCCTTCAACGACTTATGCGAGAATAGCTGTGCGGGATGGATTGCTAGTGATATCCAGTTAAGGCCAGGTTACTCTTATGCCGGGGGTTCTGGACCATCAACATGAACGGGTGCCTAGTACAGGTATT